TCGAGCAGCTCCGGCAACGTCGCTACGGTCCAGGACATCATCTTCACCCCATTCACCAAGGCGCGGGTTGATGGTGTGGACCGGCCGTACCTGGAATGGATGAACCGATATTTTCTTCGTGGGCCCCAGACTGAGGGTGTGCGCTGGTGGCTACATCGAGCAACTCGAGGAGAATATCCGTCGCCCGTACCTTCTTGGAAACTTTGTACTGCTACAGGATTGGGTGACAACACATTTAATCGAAGGGCGTTGGAAAAACTTTCGCCTACTTGGAATGGAAGAACGTTGAGTACCTGGAAAAGATGGAGTATTTAAGCGGGGGTCCTGAACTAAACCCCCTCAATTACTCGGTTCGGGCGGAGCTCAACAGGGTGGTCTACAGTGGCGGAGAAATCAACGATCTCGCTCAACTCCGGTACCCACTCACTTTCGCGCGGCCGAATCTCTCGATGGCGCTCCTCCAGAAGGCTGGCGGAGTATCATTATAGTATTTAATGTGCTCTTTAATATGGTAGTAAAAATGTCCGATAAAAATTTAATAAAGTGTAACTTATAGCGCCTTGAAAGTCATGGAGGCAAAATGACTTTTTTTGCCCCCCCCCCTGTATATATACTGCGAAGCAAAATCATAGTTCCACCCATGAATCTCACAAAATCCTGTCTTACACGACGTTTTCCAAATGCCCCCATACAGAAAATGTGGTAATTACCAATACCAATTCGCATGCCAACACCAAACTCTAGCTTGAAAAAACATTTTTTTTTCGTCAATTTTTTCAAAAATGGTCGTTCTGACAACGCAGCAAAAGTATAGTTCCACCCCATATTTTCCGGCTGCATCTCATTTTTGTTCGGTGAAACTTCTCATCATTATGACTTCTTGCCTCTTCTAGGCTATGGCGAGTGGAACTTCATTAAATGGACTTGTTCGAAAGGACAGATTATCGCAAAAAAGACTCAAACACTGGTGAATCGTCGTATGGCGCGGGGTGCGGGCCGCACTCATCATGCTATCAACAGTTTTTTTCCAGGACCTACAGGGTATTGAGCTGAGATGAGCCGTGGACATCCCTTGCTGCGTGATCGGAATAACCGCCATATCCCTAGGAAAGCATCCAGCTCTGCAGTGTCGTGTCGGGAAATGAAGTCATCTACGCAGGTTAATGTCTCGGAGGATACTGGATTAGGCGTCTCTTGGAAAAACTTCGCGAGTGATCACAAATTCTGATCGGACATTTTTACTACCATATTGAAGAGCATATTAAGTACTATCACGACACTCCGCCATAGCTTTCTGGACGAACGCCATCGAGAGATTCCCGGCACTCGCCGCGATGTGGTACCTGAGATCAGGCGGGAGCCGATTTCTCCGATCACCGTACGAGACCACCCCTCTTGAAAGTCCGCCCGAAGCTAGGTTAATTGAGTGGGTTCAGGTCAGGGGACATACTTCAATATTACATCTTCTTCAGGTACGAAACGCCCTTCCATTCGAAGTAAGACGGGAGTTTTTCCAAAACCCTTCGATTCCATGTGGTGGCACCCAAACCTGTAGCAGCACAAGGTCTCCAAGAAGGTACGGGCGACCACATGTAGGGAGGATATTCTTCTCGAGTTACTTGATGTAAACCGCCAGCGCTCACCTTCAGTCGGGGTCTACAAAGAAAATATCGGTCTTATCCTTTCCAGGTACCCCGGTCCACACCATCAACCCGCGCCTTGGTGAATGGGGTGAAGATGATGTCCTGGACCGTAGCGACGTTGCCGAGCTGCTCGATGTGGGAGGTCTTGCAGATCAAGAGTACTGACCTCCAGGTAGCTATCTGTGGATGACTTCATTCAAGAAGTTTCGCAGCTGTTTGGAGGCGACGTGAATTTCCAAAAGGGGGGGGGGGGGGGGGGGGGGGGGGGGGGGGGGGGGGGGGGGGGGGGGGGGGGGGGGGGGGGGGGGGGGGGGGGGGGGGGGGGGGGGGGGGGGGTTCTCCAGTAGGCCGCGGACTGGCAAAGATGACTTTCATATAATTTGTGCGATACATGAAGGCGAATTGGCGGCAAGCCTGCTGCAAGCTTATTAGAGGAAGATCTTGGTATCCTTCCACTGCTGGTACCTCCAATATCCCACTTCCCCTGTCTGGGCTGCGAAAACTTCGTTGATATGTGGCTCGGCCGAAATGACTTTTTTTGGCCCCCCTGTATATATATATATATATATATATATATATATATATATATATATATATATATATATATATATATATATATATATATATATATATATATATATATATATATATATATATATATATATATATATATATATATATATATATATATATATATATATATATATATATATATATATATATATATATATATATATATATATATATATATATATATATATATATATATATATATATATATATATATATATATATATATATATATATATATATATATATATATATATATATATATATATATATATATATATATATATATATATATATATATATATATATATATATATATATATATATATATATATATATATATATATATATTATATATACAAGGTTTATATGACTGGCAGTCTGCTTCAGATGTCCAGAGACGTCCCGTAGTCACACGTTTATCGTTAAGCACCAAAACAGCAGGGTAGCGGGAGGCAGTTGGCCGTCGAGCTGTCGAGAAGAACTGAACTCAACTGAACTGAACTATTGTACTGGCCAACTCCTCATATAGCACAGAAGCGGGGCTTACTGATTCCCGCTCAGTTCTCTTCAAATTCTGAGGATACAGGCAATGAGGATGACGAAACAACCGATCGGCTTCGATCGATCAACGCAGCACCGTGATGAGTATCAAGTGGATAACAAGAACTGTACATGTAACATAACAAGAATGACATAATAGTAACATATTGTAGTATAATAATAGCATATTGTATCTACACGCCGCTCCTCTGGGAGCCAGGCTCCGACGGCTTCATTCACTTCATCTTCTTGTGTCCTTTCTGCTTCATGTAAGGTGCTTGTCGGTTTCTTTCTTCCTTCGCGTCGCGAACATACATCACGTGCGGCTTCACAATCTTGGCTTTCTTCTTCTGCGGGTCTCGTTTGTTCTTCTTAGCGGCAAAAAAGATCGGCAGCGACAGCGTGCTCATGGCAAATTTCCGCACCTGGTTGAGGAACACGGTTATCTGCCATGGGTGGAACCTGTCGTCACCTCGTCTTGGGCTCACCCCCAGGCTCGTGGCGGGGTGTCCGAGGGGTACCATCTGGTCGATCGTTCCATACGCATCAACCACCCTTGCGTCGAAACCGCGGGCGGGTCCAGTGAGCACCTCCACAACCTCGGCACAAAGCCTCTTGACTGCGTGCCACATCTCGCATCGTCGCTCCTCGTATGGTGGAGGGTACATGTCTAGCGTTCTATTTAGCGCCATACTGGCCCTAGATGGCCTCGGCGCCAAAAATAAGTATCAAAACCGTGATCAGGACCATCAAATACCCCTATGTACAGAGATACGCCGGAAAATTTTTTCCGAGCTTTTTGTAATATGATGCCTGCTCTAATTAGAGGCTATCAGTCCCCCCCCTACCCCCTCTTTCCCAGAAGTCGTAATCCAACATCGCTAATAGGGAACTTTCCATTAGCTAGTATACAGACGCATAAGTGGCGTGCATACACTGCACACCATTTGCTTTTCTGATGTGAGAGAAACAAGATCCTTTGCAGGAGGTAAAGAGTTCTTTGTTGAAAGCCTAGACGGTAAAAGTGGAGAAAGATTCAGGATGCTGGTTTAGTGACTTCGAAGCTAACACGGTGTTCTTTGAAGACTTTCTGAGGTTGAGAGTGCGAAAAATGTAAAATTTCTGGCGGTTCGTATGCCAGAGGCCTTCACGGAGGGTTCACTGCCACTGCCATCCAAATGGTCAGGTCCACTACCACCAGGAAAACTTGAAAAAAAACTTTTTTGCTGAAACCTCGTATACAGGGGTAATTAATGGCCCTGATCACGATTCTGACAATTATTTATGGTGGCATAAACCACTAGAGGAACTGCAATATACCTCCCTGTACGCCAAGTGAAGCACCTAAATTTTGATCTTATTCTGCGTTGTTTTTCATGCCTAGTTAAGGAACACGTTATAAATTATACGTACTCAGCTCTACAGCTAAAACAGAGCCGAATAAAATGATCAAATTAGCCTATTCTGCGCAACTTGTTTTTTTTCCTTTTTGGCATTCCCAATAGCGTTTAGCAAAATTGAACCCCATCTTTGTGGTCCTTGCATGGACCCCTACATCATGCAACAAACCGTTTTTGAAAAGCTCACCACGACCTGAACGACCTCCCTTGTCCAGCAGTGCATGTCAAAAGCAGTGATATGACAGCACTTCGCAGAAGGAGTAGTTCTGTGTGTATGGATGAAAGAGATTGTAATGGAAGGTCTGTGGACCACTTTCCTTGCCAATACCATTTTCTCTGAAGTTATATCAACGAGAACAGCGATAATTATGACCATTTCGGAACGAAGCCGACCAATTTATTCAATTTCTGCTCCTAGTTTTGGTAGCATTAGAATCGGCATCTCGTTGAGTAAAACTGGCGAGGGTCACCGATGGCAAATGAGCTCAGATCCTTGATTCAAGTCGCATACCAGTTGATAAAAAGTCATTTCAAACATTTACAGCTGGTAGTGCAGGACTTCCTGTTCAGCATAACAGTTTTAAATCCAGGATACGTTACTTCTGCAACAACAACAGCAGCAACAACACCAACAGGTAGCTGAGGTGGGAAGTACACTGTCTCCATCGTCACAGCTGGTGCGTTTTCTTATCTCAAAAATTTTTGCAGTGCCTTTCAAAAAAATGCCCTTCGGTTACGTCAAATCTTTTTGCAATGCGTTCACAACAAAATTTCCTTCGGTTATCTTTAGGTCAGCCATTTCCTGGCTTCCGCGCTGTTAAATGGATCGAACTCGCTTGCTCTCATGAATCAGCTGACTAGTAGTGGATCATCAGCTAACATAGAGTCTCAAGGAATGCAACTGTTTTCAGTTTTACAAGATCAGTTTGTATCAGAACAACTGTTGCCGCTCCAGGTATGCTTAATATCATGCTTTATGTGCTCATGCTTCAGCAGAGTTTTTAGGGTAGTCAAAATGTTGGTGGTATCAATTCTATCGTGAATCCGGCTGCACTTTACTACCAGTACATATTGCAACAGCAGCAGCAAAAGCAAACTGTATTGCAGCAGCTTGTGCAGCAGCCAGTCTCCACTTCTGAAGCGGCTCTACGTCAGCATAAACAGTTCCATTCACCTGTGACAGGTATACTTACAGGTTTTCTTAAGATAGTGAGTTGCTGGTAACGCGAGTAGGAAGTTAGTTATCAGCTACAATCATCAAAGCGTCGATTGACAGCCCTAATGGCTAATAGAGTCAACCATTTCCCCCATTATTTACTGCACTTTCTGCAGGCCTCGTCACCTTGCTCATGCATACATGCATTAAGAGGCAGTTGGCACGATGGTTTCCTACTTAGCCTAAAATGCTAGTAGGGCGCTGTATAGTGGGGAAATGGCGAAAGAACGGAGTGAAACGGTCAAAATCCTTGAAGGAAAAAACCTCGCTCTCAGTGACGTTTTGGACGAGTTTCCCATAGGCATCTTGCCAATCACCGCTACCGAAGATACGGCTGCATATGTGTACCCATGTATGCATGCAGCATCACGGCCGCCATACCAATCCCTTCGCTTCATAATTTGCTTAGCAAATGAATGAATACGAGCGTCAGGAACGGTCGTCCATTTGTGGGGCGGGCGTTTGGGTCGGTATGTTGTGGCTTGATAGGGCCCTTATAAGGGCACCTTTCTCGGAGAAGCCGCTATGCAACACTGCTCAGGGTCGCGGAATTCCATCCTGAGCGGACAAAAGTTTCTGACAATTCCGTAAGAAAATCAGTTAACTTTTTTACGGTAGGCAGTGACAGCGATTTCAAACGAAATAAACGCTATTATTCCCTGCCGTTTCTGGTATTCAAAGATTGCTTAAGAATAGAATTTTGAAAGAATGAAGGCGCTTCACAGATCTCCAGATTACTTTCGAGGTGTGTATCGTCATCAAGCATTTACGCCGCGGGTGACTGCTCAAAGTTAGAAACAATTCGTTGTCCTCTGGTGAATACGCTAAATGGAGCATAACAGTTCAACCAAATTCCCATATTTTCTGAGAAGCCTGCTTTGCGACCTGTGATCTTTAACTGTTATGGAGGTAGTCGACTTCCCCTGTCCACGAGTAGTTCCATTTCCAGTATACTGTAGTTTTTTCCTATAGATAAATGTCTTCAGGTATTCAATGAAATACATAAAACCACTTCCAGGAGTAGTTCTTTTTCTGGCGTTTTGATACCTGCATTACGTGAATTCAACCATTGGCGCTCGTGGAAACGATTGAAACACTACGGCTGCTCTTCGATTTCGATCACTAAAACTTCAGTCATCTCAGCTGTTATTTTTGATGGATAATTGTTTCTTCTTACTGAACTGCACTCGAGCTTGTTTAGAACCTTTATTACGTGGCTGACGTTTCGGTGATCACCTTCTTCGGAGCCTGAAAGGATGGAAGTCAATTTATGAACTATTCCGACCAAATGCCTTACTCCCTCACAGAGACCTTCGACCCCATCCTAGCCATCAACCAATCAGGAGAGAAAATTACCGTACCTGCCAGATCCACTAGGTCAGCTACGAGTAGCACAGTCCAGGGAGCTTTCGAACCGATCGCATTCAAGGTTTCCGTGGGGAACGTTAGCCTTATATACGGGGTTAACTCCCGCGCAATTGACAGTTGACACCCGTGACCTAGCTTTCCCGTCAAGGTGTTCTTTGATCCGTACGTGAAGCGGCCTCGCCGTCTCACCTATGTACTCGTCGCCTACATGTTTGCAGTTGATCTTGTAGATCACAGTTGATCTTGTAGACCACGAGACAGCAACCGCGCAGTCTCCCTCCCTGCCGTTCGGGCAGACTACGCAGTCCGGGGTTTCCACATGTGCGATCGTAAAGACGGTTTCGAATCAGGACGGCGTTTTAAGTTGTGTGGAGGAATCTCCACGACGCCAACAGAGTTTTCTAGACCCGATCTCCTCAGACACTTCCTTATGGAAGTGCTAACTTCATCGGAGATGAAGGGTACCACGAAAGGAATTTTCCCGTAAGAGGATCACCCCCGGTCTGTTGGTTGTTGTGCGCTACTGATTCTACGCATAGGTGAGGGACGGTCATAGCCGTTAAGCCCAGCAATTTCGCGTGCCATTCTCAATGACTCCTTCCTCTCCTCCTCCCTCGTACAAACAGTTGCCGCCGTCCGGAACATATTCCTGACAACTGCTCGCTTAGTTTGGAGAGGGTGAGCCGATCTGAAAATGGACAATGATATTTTTGGTGGTGGGCTTCCTATACCACTTTGTGAGGTACGCACCCTTATCAGACCTGACCTGGACGTTAAGGAACGGAAGCTAGCTGTTGCAGGGCTTCTCGCTCGCTTGATGTGTTCGGACTTTTCCTCTCTTTACCGTCTATCCTCAGCGAAGGAGTTTCAGTCACAGTTCCGTAAGCTGAATCGTGTGTGGATGGCGGTAGCAAAATCAGCGGGACTTGACCCTCTCCTAACAGCTCGTCTAAAACTTGATGCACCTTCTTGTCCCGTGCTGTACCTCCTCATCAAAACGCATAAGTTTGGGGCAGCGGAAGACCTGACCTCGATCAGCCCTTCGAGGGTAAATGCCAGACCAATTATCAGCTGCGTGCGGGGACCTACTGACAGGATTTGCTGGTTCCTTAAAGACAGCTCAAGTAGCACGTGGTCATCCAAGTGCAAGTAGTACAGCCCCCAAGCTAGAGACTATCCCACTCTCGCGACTCCACAGCGAGCGAGGAGCGAGCTACAGCCGCTGAAAGTTCTAGTTCTAACGCCCGCCCAGTTGGACCGCCCACTTGCTAGATGCCCTCTGACGGAGGGCCGCTCAGTTGTTCTTTGTTGGGGCGGCGGGCATAATCGGGATTGCAAGTCATTTTTGCAGACCGCGCTGGTGCCCATAAATAACTCTGCTCTCCTTCATCACATTTCATTCATTGAGAGCACATACAGTCAAATGCAACCCATCTCGTAAGGTAAAACGCATAAAAATCACGAGTGATGCAATTTTTGTGGTGCAAAAGCTCGACTAGCAACATGCACTAAAAGCCGCTCGCTACCGTAACCCAAATTCGGACGCCGTGTCTTTAAGTTTTTTTGCCTTTCAGGAGTTTTTCTTCCGAGTTTTTATTGTTTTTCGTATTCTTTTCTTTGCATTGGATGATATCCACTACTGGGAGATGTGATAAAGGGATTTGTGAGCCAGGGGTTGCACAGAGACCGCAGGGAGGTGTGACTGTTAGGGAGCGATTTTGTTTATGGTGTTCTTGAGGACTCTTCTTGCTTTTTTCTTCTTTGGGGAATTACTTATCAGCTACTGTTTCATAATTGAAAAGCAACTATCCATGACACTTTTATCGCGGGAGCTGTCTTTAACCACATTTTAGCTCAGCTGCTTCGTTATATCCCGTCGCGCCTTCCAAACACGATGTTCCAGAACCATCCCACCCAGCATAGTGCGAGCCAGAGAACAGTGCCTTTTTCATGGAGTCATTTAACGTGGAAGCCCTCTATACCAACGTCACCAATTCACCTACTATAGAATCCGTTTCCGACCCTCTTATAACGCATCACGATGTGACCGATATGGGTGGGCTTTCCATCGGTCAAATAATGGTGCTAAAGACACTCCCGTGATCAAGTGGTCCTTAGAATAACTCCGTGCTTTTGAACTGTTATACGCGTTCACATACAGAGAACATACCACTTTCGTCCCTCAAAACGGCGAGATAAAGAAGTTAGAGACACGTGAGCGTGGCAACGCGTGCGACATCATACTGTAGCTGTACGAGACAACGGCTCACAAGCTTCTATTCCTACAACACCGCGCGGCACGTGTCGCGCGCGGCGCTTCTGGCACTTTGCCATCTTCGGTGATCCGCGCTTTCCATAGCGATTAAGCGCAAACCTCGCACCGTTGGACATAAATTGAAGACGACTTAGGCTGTTTTAGGGTTCCATAGTCTTTGCAAGCGCGATTCCAATTAGGAGGATGTGAACAAAAGAGCAGCAAGCCTTTCTTGAGTTTCATACTCTGCAAGCGATGGGAAGGACGTGAACTGAAGAGCAGGTAGTTCGTCTTCCATACTCGTCGCAAGAGGAGGATGTGAAATGAAGAGCAGTTAGTATTTCTCAGACTCGCCTAATAATCCTTTGTATGGGGGCACTGTTCAATCGTTACTACCCCAGTGTTCGACATCAGACCAGTTACATTCTCGAGCTTTTCAAAAAAAGGCCAAAACAACAACACTTCAACATCCAAGCACGAATACGCATCGCTTGGCCAGGAATTGCCTGACGCCCACGCCACAGTTAAGTTCTGCGCTCCCACCTCTACGGAGAGCGCGTCCTTCGCGTGCGACATACTCGTCCAAGACGCCGTACTGCTGAGGGAAGGTCTGTGTTAGGGTGTTCCCGAGTTTTTTTCGCTTCTTTTTCTACTGAGGAGCTTCTGGGCCACTGGTTCATGACTGAACACCAACTACCCGTAACACTTGTTCGAGGGAATCGTCTTTGAAGACAGTTCCCGGGATGTCATGGATGGTTGCGTTCTGTTATGAGGTAGTAGCTAATAAGTAATACCCCAAAGAAGAAAAAAAGAAGAGCCTTCGAGAACACCAAATCGCACCCTTTTCAATGCAAATCTGGCAGTTTCCAAACCAAACCGGGCACTTTTCGTACCATATCGGAGCAGTTTCCAAACCAAATCGGACAGTTTCCAATCAAATCGGGCACTTTTCAAATCAAATCGGACACTTTTCAAACCAAATCGGACACTTTTCAAACCAAATCGGACACTTTTCAAACCAAATCGGACACTTTTCAAATCAAATCGGACACTTTTCCAAACCAAATCGTGCAGCTTCCAATCGAAATCCAACGCTTTCCCAACCATTTCAGACAGTTTTCAACCAAATCGGGCGCTTCCAATCCGAATCCAACACTTTCCAATCCACATCGGGTACTTTCCAAGCCAAATCGGGCAGTTCCAAACCAAATGGGGCACTTTTCGTACCATATCGGGCAGTTTCCAAACCAAATCGGACAGTTTCCAATCCAAACCGGGCAGTTTCCAATCCAAACCGGGCAGCTTCCAATCTAAATCCAACACTTTTGAAACCAAATCGAACACTTTTTAAGCCGAGTAGGGCGTGTCCAATCCAAATTGGACAGTTTCCAATCCAAACCGGGCACTTTTCGTACCACATCGGGCAGTTTCCAAACCAAATCGGGCAGCTTCCAATCCAAACCGGGCACTTTTCAATCCACATCGGGCAGTTTCCAAACCAAATCGGGCACTTTCCAAGCCAAATCGGGCACTTTTCAATACCACATCGGGCAGTTTCCAATCCAAACCGGGCACTTTTCGTACCACATCGGGCAGTTTCCAAACCGAATCGGGCAGCTTCCAATCTAAATCCAACACTTTTGAAACCAAATCGGGCTTTTTCCAAGCCAAATCGGGCAGTTCCCAAACCAAATGGGGCACTTTTCGTACCATATCGGGCAGTTTCCAAACCAAATCGGACAGTTTCCAATCCAAATCGGGCAGCTTCCAATCCAAATACAACACTTTTCAATCCAATAGGGCAGTATCCAAACCAAACCG